TTAAAGACGTTTTATTTTGTTTAAGAATCAGTCGGTACTTTTTAAGATTCACCTCCTCATTTTATTCGTAAAATCGTCTCTGGAAATAACTATATATTTTTTTTCTATATATGCCAACTAGACCTAGAAATAAAAAAATAAAATAATCGCAAGCTAAGAGAAGTTAGCTAAGATAAGTTAGCTAAGATAAGTTAGCTAAGATAAGTTAGCTAAGAGAAGTTAACTAAGAGAAGTTAGCTAAGAGAAGTTTGTTTTTAATTATAGGGTATAGCGGGACATATCGGGACAGTGGGGCTTAACGGGGCAGTTATGCCTGAAGCCTTATATCTCAGCTAAAAATTATTTTTTTCCAAAATTTTTTTGAAGCAGATAAAAACACAAACAGTTTTTGAAAGAAATCAAAAAAATAAACTGCAACTGAATAGCTGTTGACAGCATTTTGACCAACAAGATTAAAGAATGTCCACAACATGGAATGTATTCAGCTAAAATGTTTTCTTTGCGAATAGAGTTCAGTTATATTTTCAGTTACTGCCAAAACTTTTTTGTAACGTTTCTCTTAATCTTTCATACATTTTGTTTTCGGCCATCCGCTTTTATACTTTTTCATGATTATTAATTTTTACTTTAAGAAAAAGAAAACATTACAGATAATATAACGAATGAGCAGTCTGAACCAAATTTTTTTTAATTATTAAATCGTATTTAAACAAAATAAAAACAAGGAAAAGACAATTTGTGCGACGAAGGAAAATATATTGTTGCAGTGTCAAGGTTTCCGATAGTTGAACTTTTGATAGATAAACATTGTCTAGATGTTAGATTATAAACGCTTAGTATGTGAAGCCGCGAGTTTAGATTTCCGATTGTTGATAATTTAGTGTTTTTGCCTTTTTGACGTTTCTTAAGATGAGCCCTTTTATTTGCTGATATTTTTTCTGGTTATGAGCCTTTATTTTATATTTTTTTTTATTGTTTTTCAGTGGGCCTATTTTTTGTGGTGGGCCTGAGGCTATAGCCCCCTTAGCCTCCGCCTTATTACGGCCCTGACTCCAGCTTCTGTATCTAAAGTTACTTCCTGCTCAGACTCTTCCACAGCTTGTGGTCCGGACAACATACCGGCTACAGTTTTGCAAGAGTTTTCACTAGAGCTGTCATCTATACTTTCAAAATTTTTTAGCAAGTGCTTATCTTGAGTTGTTTTCCAGCTTGCTTGAAAGCGGTAACTGTTATCCCTATTTTCAAAAATTCTGGAGAGCGATCTGACTCGTCTAACTACCGTCCCATTAGTCTTTTTCCTACCATTAGCAAGGTTTTTGAGTCTTTATTTAACAAACCCTTAATCTCTCATCTTGAATATAATAACTTACTTTCTGATCATCAAAATGGATTTTGATCTTTTCGTTCTACAGCTGATTTGCTAACAGTAATAACCGATAGGTTTTATCGTGCATTAGATAGTGGTGGAGAGGTTAAGGCTATTGCTCTTGACATTTCTAAAACTTTTGGTATGCTGATCGTCTCCATAAGCTTTCTTCTTACAGTGTATCTGGTAACATTTTTAAAACTATTGAGTCCTTCTTTACCAATCGTAGTATAAAATTTGTCCTCGATGGATAGTACTCTTCTTCATATCCTTAAACTTCAGGGGTTCCTTAAGATTCTATTCTAGGGATTATTTTTTTATTTTATTTAAATTAAGAATCTCCTAGAAATTCTCATATCTAAGGTGATATTGTTTGCTGATGATACTACCATATATTCTTGCCTTGATAAGAAGCCAACACTCTCTGATTGTTTATAGATAATAATCTTGAAAAGGTTTCACTTCTGCTGTTGAAAAATATCTCACTTCTTTTGTTCTGGTGAACTTTAACTCAGATAAAACTAAATTTTTTTTAGCTAATTGTAAGCACAATAATCTAGATCTCCCAATATTTATTAACAGTAATGTACTTGATGAGTTATCTACGCTTTTTCTTCTAAAATTAGCTCTTAATTCTGATCTATCTTGGAAACCATATATCAAATCGATTGCAAAATTAGCATCTGCTAATCTCTTTATCGTGCTCGCCACTTTCTTTCTCAGGATTCTATTCTTTATCTCTATAAATCTCAAATCAATCCTTGTATGGTATGCTGTTACCATATCTAGGGCGGATTTTCAAATGATGCCCTTTTTCTTAAAGATAATGTGCAAAAGCATATTTTAAACATAATTGGACCTGCTCTTGCAGCCAACTTTCAATCACATCGTCGTAATACTGCTTCCTTTTCTCTTTTCTATAAATACTATAATGGTCGCTGCTCTACAGAGCTAAAATTCATTCTCGTGTTATTCGTTATTCATTTAAGTCTCATCCTTTTACTGTAACTGTTCCTAAGTGCTCCGAAAATTCTTATTTGTTCAGTTTTTTTTCCTCGAAATTCAGTTCTTTGGAATTCGCTCCCTTAATCTTTTTTTCTTGATTCATACAATTTGCCATCTTTCAAGTCGTCTGTTAATTGTTATCTTGCTTTATAAACTTCACCTTTTCTCTTCCAATAACTTCCAACTCAAATAGTGGTTGCTTGCAGCTTTGTTGGAAGTTGAGATGTTAAAAAAAATGTCTTAAATAAAAATACTTGTAAAATAAAGTGTTTATCAAATACTATTTTGAAAGTCTTTTTATTTTAAACTTTTATTAACATTACTAACAATAATTTTGAAAAAAAGGTTTTTCCTATCAAAATTATTATATCATATTATAATTAATAATGAACTTAATAGCAGTGCTCATTCAAGCGTGTTTGACACATTACTCTTAGCAGCCATTGCAACCGAGGTAATAGTGAGAAATAGTTACAGCATTTTTTTTTTATAAGAAAAATCAACGAAAGTTTATGCAAATATCTAACTTATGTATACTTCAAATTAAGTAATGTTAAAATATACATAAAATACACAAATAAACATATCAAGTTTTATAGTTTTACTTTTACTTAAAAATTGTTTGAGGCAAACAATTTTTAAATAAAAAATCTCCTTAAGATTTGATCTGTTGCACTTATTTCTGTTTTATAAAGTCTTATATAGTTTTTAAAATTTTTGCAAGACAATCACTGATCTCTACAATAAATTATTATAGAGATCAGTGAAGACAGTATGCTTGCGTAGCCGAGTGGTTAGCACGCGTACTCCTAATGCAGATAGCGGTAGTTTTTGTAAATATTAAGGAGGTTAAAAAAGTTTGTTTTTATTAAGAACATAATTGAAAGTTCTTACTTTATATTTAAAACAAAGCATTTTATTAAATTTGTAGTTTCTAAAAATAATAAAACCTTGAAAATACCTAATATTAAGACAATATATTAATTTAAAGTTTTACAGCTATACCATGCCTCCGTTAAACATTCTAAACCGAGACCGCAACAATAACAAAATTTATATAACCATCAAAAATTTTGAAGAAAGTTGCAGAAACTTTTAGAAATATAATGACAATTATATTTCTAATATAATGACAAGAAATATAATGACAATTATATTTCTAAAAATTTCTGAATTATTGAAAATAATGAAATCTATATGAAATACGATCATCAGCAAATTTCTGGTGTTGTCTATTTTAACGCCAAATATAGTAGAAAAGCAAATAAGATATTTAAATACACAAAACATGATAAGTTTGCTAAAAAAGCCTTGAATTAGCCAGCTAATTGCAGGTATGGCAAAATATCAGCACCCTATATTTTTGTGTTCTCACTTTCTGGTAAAGTATATGTGTTTACAGAGTGTAAAAGAGTGTTTACAAAAAGATCTTATATAAAAAGTATATGTTAAAGAGTGTTTACCTTTTACTAAATCACTTAAAAGTGATTTCGTAAGAAGTAAAGTTGACGTGTTCTGACTTATTGTTAAGTCATTATAGCAGACTGGCTAATGAATGTTATAAACAAAATGACATGAAAGTTGCCTAAAATAGCAAATCCTCCAAATCTGCCCAAAATTGAAAATTATTGTAAAGTGCTGGGTAATTATTAAACAAAAAATTGAAAAAGAAAAAAAACTATGCAGAAATGTTAAATATTAGAAAATATCATTTAAAAAACATCAAATAGTTTTGATTGTCGTTCTGTGCGCAAGCTTATGTGTACCACCAAAACAAAAGTTTGAAATTTTATTAGATGTCCACAGGAATAAATTAACTTTTATTAAATATTTTATCTTCTTATATAAATGTATTAAAATTAATACTTAGTTCTAAATAAATGTTGATAAGTACCTTTTTTAAGTTGTTTTTCTACTTTCACACTTATTTTGTGTACACGCTTTAATTTAGTAGTCGCAAAATTTTGGGCTGAATATAACTATTATTTGAAAATCTGGTAAAGAAACTGTACTGATTTTATCTGAATTGCGGTTTAAAAATTTTTAAAGTTATTTTTATTGGTTTAGACATATGCATTAGAAAATGATAAAACTTATCTGGTAGGCAACTTATTTGACTAAATATGTATAAAATAAAAACTCAACTAAGAATATAGATTAAGTTTGATATATGTTTTGAATATTTGTTTAAAAAAGTCTTTATTCAAACTAAAATAAAGTTTTAATGTAAACTTTTAACTTTTTAGTTATAATTATTGGATTTTCCGAAACACTTTTGGCTCTTGGTATAATTATTGAATCTTTCAATAAAATTTAATAATTGGATCTTCTAAAAAACTTGAAGTATAATTTTTGGATCTTTTAAAAAACTTTAGGTATAATTATTGAACCTTCTGAAAAACTTAAAAAAATCGAATCTTCTGAAATATTTTAGGCATAATAAGCATTCCTTGTAATTGAAATAGGTGTTTAAAAAAAGTAGGTAGATTTGATTCTCTTGTTTCAATTGATTATGCATTTTACATCGAATTAATCATGACGTAAGTTGGTATTAAAGTTTAAACAACTGCACTGATTCAATGACGCTTTGGATGACAATTTTGTTATTTATACATACAATAATATTTTGTATAAAAATTTATCTAGATATACAGAAGTTAAATGTTTTACTCATGCAATCGAATTAATCTTTCTCCATTAAACGATGTATTTTTTTATACTCGGAATAATGTGTTTTAATGTATGCTGTTGTTTTGATTGTCTGGATGGTCCTCCTGGAAGATACTGCAATGATAATCTTACTGGTTATTATAACTGTTTTAATAACGGAACGTCAGTGTACCTTCAATGCCAACCTGGCACCAGATGCTCATGCTACATAAATAATCAGTGTGTAACAAATGATATTTGTTCTAGTTTTAGCATTCCACTACCAATGATTAGCTCATTTGTTTTGTATTATAAAGGTTATCAGGAAACTCGGCGTCCGCAAGGAACTTATATTGAAAACTTACATGGTACAATAAGACAGGAAACAGTGAAAAAACAATTTTTTCAAGAAAACATTGTTGGTTCAACTCACACGTTTGTTCTTATTGTTCCCAGTAAAAACAATAAAGAATTTAAAATGGTAATTACTGCATTAAATTTCTAATGAATTTCTAATTATTTGCTATCGAGCATATATTAAAACGTTGTCTTGAGTTGTTTATGCTTTGAATCAATGTCTAAACAATTTAAAAAATTAGGATGTCAAAAAAAGTCAGTTTATTATTAGACGTCTTTCTTAAAATATAATTTATATATATATATATATATATATATATATATATATATATATATATATATATATATATATATATATATATATATATATATATATACATTCTGCAAGTAAATTAAGTCATCTATTTTGATAACATTTAAATTTATTTTAAAATATTTGTAGTACGAAGGAACGTTCAACAAATCTTGCAGTAACACTAAACTAAAAGAGTTTAGTGGATTTTTGAACGAACTTACTCATTTCACAAAAATGAGCGTAAAAAACGTTAATAAATGTACGACTGAAGAAACCTATTACTTTCGCAATGGTAGGCGTCATCTCGGTCAATCATTAACAACATGGGAATGGGTTGTCAAGAATAATTTGATTGCAAAAACGTTGGAACCAATTTTTTTTAAAAGTTCTTTTTATGGAAGTGAAATAGCAAAACAAAGTACAATAATATCATGGACGTCAATCACGTTAGTTCCAAGTTACTCGAATGATACGTTCTTTCAAATTCCGAATATATGCAAGATATAAACTTTCTGTTTTCTTAACGAAAAATTCTTTTTTTTAAACTTCTTATATATAATGTTATATATTTTTTTTCAATTTAAATTTTTACCTAAAATTTTTTAAGTCGTTTTTGTAACAACGGATTTCTATTATATTTGATAAAGCCCAATCTGTAACTAACTATTTTTAAAACTTGGGCCTTTTTTTATAAAATTTTTTCGTAATTAAACGAGTTATTGTACCAACTGTTATGATGATAATTTTACTAATGATCGGAATAGAATTGTGGTAAAATAATTATTGGTTTTGTAAACTTACTTAATAAAAAAGTCAAATAGGAATTCTATAAAGAAAAAAGAGAAATGTATGTATATACATGATCTTAACAACAGCCCAAACATGCTTTTGGATGACAATTTCATTAACAGCAATCTCAAAGTCTTTTGGTTTTTCCGTTTTTTGTTTGAAAGATTGCAGATCTTGCCCACTAATAATTGAGCTTAAAGATATAAATCGATTGAAAAAAATTCGAACTGTTAAGTTTAAATGAGAAAAAGTCCATATAAGGCTAGATAAATTTAATAATAAGGCGTGAATTTAAAACTAAGCTTTGTATATAATAGTAAGGCGTGAATTTGATTTTTATGTAAATATCATTAAAAAAGAATTAACAAAGTTTATCTTATGACGTACGTTTTGGTTTTTTATTTGTGGTGAGCGCAAAAATTTCAATACAGTAAAAAATAACATTGTAAAAAAACAAAAGTTTATTTTTGTCTAATAAACAAAATACATATAAAAACTTTATTTGTTACTCATTGTTTGTAAAAATGAAGGTAGCAGTGCAGTAGTACTTCTGTAAAAAGACCGTAAAAAGATCATAGCGTGTTTCCTTTATTTGTAAAAAGAACACAAAAAAATATTTTTTTGTAAAAATTGCATGCGGTGACTGTTCGGAAAAATATTAAAATAATACAGAAAAATATATGTGGCTTTTATGCAAAAACTGGTTTTAAAACCTAAATTTTTATTCATAGGTAAAACTGTAGTTTTAGTTTGATAAATAGGCGAGAGAAAATTTTAGTTTTGAAATCAAATTCATAAAAAAAACAATTTAAAAAAAGTTTCAAAACAATATCGATGTTAAAACTTCTAATACATACAAAAGAGAAGCATCTAATCACATTAAAACACAAGCATCTAATCACACTAAAACACAAGCATCTAATCACACTTAAGCTTGGTTTCCAGTAGTTGTAGAAAAGTCGTGCAACAGTTGTTCAACAATAATGCTTTATAATGCAAAAATTTTCAGGCGTAAGTTGCACAACTTAACTTCGGTTGTACAACAAAATTTATGTTGTAAAACAAAGGTTGCGGAAATAGAATCAAGCCTATTTCGGCAACAATTGTTGTACAACAAAAACGCACAACTGTTGCACAACATTTCTACAACTATTGGAAACCAAGGTTTAAACACAAGCACCGAATTACACTGAAACACAAGCATAAACAGGCTATTACCACGGAAAAACTATTTTTTGAAATGTTAATAAATAATTTTTTACAACAATATGGAAGGTTATTTGCAGGCAAGCTGACTATCGAGCTTATGCTATACAACGTATGCTAATGCTAGATATTGTTGGTGTAGATCCAAAGAACAGTGACTGAAATAATGTAGTTACTGGTGTTGGTGGCATATCTTGGTGGCATTCTGTAGTTATTGGTGTTGGTGGCATAGATTCTGTTAATTGAGATGACAAGAACTCAGTTTGAGATGATGGTTTAAAATTTCAAATTTTAACAATTTTAAAAAATTGTTAAAATTTGAAATTTTGACTAGAGGTTCATAGGATATAACTTTTTTACAAATCCGGATAAACCATATATATTTTTATAATCGGCTATTTCATTCGGCATATTCGGCGTATATATTTTTATATACGCCGGATATGCCAAATATTAAAATTCAAAATTTTGTTTGTTTTCTTTACATACAATATCAGCCATATCCCAGCCAGCATTGTGGTACGGGTACCATGCGGGACCCGTATGGGTCATCAACTGGGCCCCATATGGGTAGCCCTCCGGGGTCCCGCTGGTTTTTGGCCGCGGTTTCCATCCGGGGCCCATATTGGTTTGCCCGCCGGGAAACCCGTGTGGGTCCCATTAAGATCCCGCATTTTTAAACCATAAGGGTCCCGTATAGATTTACAACTGGGACCCATATGGGAAAGCCCTCCGGGATCTCGCCGGATTTTGGCCGCGGTTTCTATACGGGGCCCATATGGGTTTAATAAATATAAGAGAATTCATATTATATGCTTATTTATTTCAAACAAAAAGCACATTAAAATTACATTTTTATTCTTTAATCGTGAATCGTATCGTAATCATGAATTAAAATCTTTGTGAAAACCACTTCTTTAAGCACTTTTTTCTTCATACAATATCTTTTTCAATAAGACCTGTGAAAAAATAAAAATTAAACTGCTTTGAGTTGAAATTTACAAGCAACCCATCGTTTATATTTTAAATCAACATCTTCTTTTAAATTGCATATTTTAAAATTTTTTTCAGATTTAAAAAAAAAAGTATTTTCTCACAATATTAAAATTGTGTTTAATAATTAAAGGGAGTATACTCACTAACCATTAAGTCAAAAAATTATATACAAGAGTCATTCATTAATTCTAATAAACAAGACTACTTATCATTATTATTACTATTATATTTACTAACCTGCCATTAAAGGAGTTTATTTAATTGGAGTCATTAACTAAAATTGGAGACGTTCTGTAGTCAACTCACACCACTAGACAAATATTGCCAACAGCCAATGTGAACCTATTGCAAATAATCAGAAATATTCTTAAATAAAAAATGCAAAATACCTTAATAACATAAGAAAATGATAACTGACATTTTCTAAAGAAAATTAAAAAAATGACACAAAATAAAAATGGAGTTAAACTTGTTATACTAATTATTATAACTTAATTAAAATAAATTAGGATAAATTAGGATGTATAACTAAGATAAATAAATAATATAAATATAATAACTAATGTAAATAAATAAAAAGCGCAGATATGTAATAAATTGAGATTTCTTAGACTTTTTCTTTAGTTACTTATAAATAAAATAGCATAGCGTATATATATATATATATATTTTTAAACTTATTTGTTTACATATATAATTAGATATACAACATATGTTAAAAAAAAGATTAAAAAATAATCACTTGACTTTCTAGAAAATTTTATTATAATATAAATGCATAATATAATATAAAGAGGTTATAAGTTTTAGAAAATAAAAAGTATTTATAATTCACAAATGTAGTTGACGCATAACAATAAAGCCACTTTTGTATGGTATTTGTAAATACTTAATATTGATGTCTGATAGTGGGTAAATTTTATTAATACCAGTCATTTTGCTTGCATAAAATATCGACAAATTATTGGAAGAAAGTGGATCTGTGAAAAATGATTCAAGAGCTGCAAATTCTTCAAACATAACCAATCCATCACAAGATTCGCCTGTTTTTATTTGTATAATATTTCTAACTAAACCAATTTTTTTTGCAACTTCAAAGCAGTTATTTCCATCAGTAGCAGAAACAAAACACTTAAAACCTTGGTAATTTTTAAACTGCAAACAATGTCTCAATGCAATGGTTATTGGTCCATCAACATGCTGGATGCTAAATTTCAGCTGATGAATATGATGTCTATCTTCCTTTAAACAGCCCTCGAAAATTCTCCTAACAATTTGTGAACATGGTTGTTGTGGCCTATGAACAAGCTTTTTTAATTGACCCAGATAATTTTCATATTTGAATGAGGAGCACTTATCCAAAACTCCAAAGTTAACTGCATCATCTGCTAGATGTATCAAAGAATGGACATTATAAACTAACTGATCTTTACCATAAAGTTTACCAAACGACTGCACAAAATAAGTAAGTAACTGACGAGCTAAACCAATATAGTTTTTCAACAAAATAGGACATAATAAAATACGAATTGCAACTGAAAGATCTAAAAAGTTTGAATAAAATTTTGGCTCAAGTAATCCCTTTAAAACAACTGGTCCAGTATATATTAGAAAAAGTCTAAGTTCAGTGGCTTTCCAATGCTGAAAATCTGATAAAGACCTTGGTTTCCTAGAAAATTCCTTTGGAATATAACAACGTATCTGGAAAAATCTATCAGATAAAATATTTACAGTATTTTGCGACAACTTACATGATCTGGGACCATTTAACCATAAGTTGATGATTCTTCGCATACTAGGTGCATGTAATCTAAAGGAAATTTTGATACCATGTCAAAACCCAACTCAATTAAAGGAGACACACCAATATGATGTTCCAAACTATTTTGATAACGAAAATCTGAATCAGTCCTTAAAGTTGCTGATGTATGCGGAAGGATTATTTTGCCACACCACTCTCCTTTTTGAACACAACGCTCACAACAATTATAACCATTGTGACCCTTTATACATTTCACAAATGCTCTTGCTGGTGCATCACATATAATTGCAGCAAGCTTTACATCATACTTTACATTTTCATGGGTAAAACCATTTTCAGTAAGAGCTTTAATCTCAACCAAAAAATCTTCTAGATATTCATGAATAGAATTTGGTTTTTTGTCAATAAATTGCTATTGGAAATACTATTGCTCCAGCTTCAATAAGAGTACCTAAAATTGGCCAAAGAGAAGTACTGGAACTGGTGAATATAGGTATACCATCAATGTTAATGTGAATGGTAAGTTGGTTGTTGTTTGATTCTATTGAATTGTTTTTAAACATTATTAAAAGCCAATACTGCATGCTGAAATAGTAATACTCTCCGCCCGCGACAATTTTTGTATCTATATTTTGGGGGGTGTGAAGAAGTGTTCTTGAATCTTTAGGCAAACTTAACCCATATTCTCTTAATAAAGGTAACAAACTGTTCAAAGCAGCATGTGTTATATTGAAGCTTAATGCCCAATTAGCAAGTTTATGAGGCAATTTTTCGCTGTCATTACTTTCATCACTCTTATAATCATCAGAAATAAATGACTCAGGAGACCATTCATTACTATCATCTGTAAGTAATTCAATAGTGTTTTTGTTATTTTCTATTTCGCTAATTTCAGTCTCCATAACAGCTAAACTATTATCAGAATAATTAGAATTAGTTAAAAATTCGTTAGGTTCCAAATTACTGTCAACTTGTTCTCTTATTCCATGTAAATATGAAGAATCAAAAAACATATTGCTACTATATGGATAAACATCCTGATTCTGTATATTTAAAGTTGAAGATTCTTGAAAAAGTTTTGATACCACTTCAGCTATTTTTCTATGTTTAGATCTTTCAGAAGTCATTCTAGTAAATTAAAATAAACTATAAACAAACTTCTAACAAATATCAACTATAACTTATTATAACAAATTTAACAGCAATATATATATATATATATATATATATATATATATATATATATATATATATATATATATATATATATATATATATATATATATAAGTATACATATATATATAAAAGTATATATATAATTGAGTGAGTCCCTAATATCATTGAAAAAAAAATTTCAACCTGGAACTTATAAATAAGCAAAATTAAATAAAAATTTCAAAAAAATAATTTCTTATTTGAAAAAATATTTAAAGAATTATTATCAAAAAACTTTTTATAACTTTTTTGAAAACCATAGGTTTTATATGTATGTATATATGATAAAAAAAATTCAGAAACTTAAAAACAACACTGAAAAAAGAAACTCTTTTTTTATACAATAACTAAAATATTTAATAAAAAAACTACTATAAAATATAACATATTCGTTTAAGATAGGATTAAGAATTATTTAAAAACTTTCTTCCAAATGATTAACGACATCTAAGCGCCGTCTTCGACCTATACCTCTGTCACGAGCATTACCAAACCATTTTGAAAGAGCCTCCTCAAGCTGTTTTTTTGTACACTCTTTTGTAGATGTATTCATTTTTATGGAAGCTGTTGTAAAAAAATATTTTCAAATTTTTATTTGAATTAAAATAAAATATGTAAATTCAAATGTAAAATAAAATATGTTAATTCAAAAATACTAAATTCTAGCATACTATAAAGAATGTTGTACAAAATGGTTTTAATAAATCCACGCTTATTTTTTTGGCCGGTCAAATTTAGCTGTCTGGCCAATACATTTCCAATAAGATAAGTCATATTTCGATTAACAAATTCTGAAATATCTTGCCCACCATTTTCAAAAAGAATATGAACCTATAATAAGATTGAATATTGCAAAATTAAACTAAATGAAAATTTATTATTACTAAATAATAAAGTACATAATTTTGATAAAGTATATGAAAATTTATACAAAATAGGTCTGAGTAAACAATTACCAAAATCCTTTGAGTAGTAACATTAGCTAATATTTCAAGAGCCTTATCCAGTTCTTCCATTGTTGTTACAGGAAATGTTAAACCTTCTGGTAGCTCCACTGATGCTATGTCTCTTTCTATGTTAAACCGTTGCAATAAATTCTGAATCATCTTAGAGTGAAATTTTTGTGTTTCTTTAATTTGTTCTAACCCTCTCAAAATAGTTTTGCATACTCCTATAAATGCTTACTGCTAAAGAATCTAATTGCTAATCAACATTAAATCATAACATATAAACACCTTTTTTTTTAGGGTCTTCTATTTCTATAACATATATAAGTATAATATTACCACTGCGAACAATGGATACGTACCTGAATTTTCTGCTGCAGCAAAAGGTACTATTGTTGAAGAATTAGGCATTCTTTGATAAGTTTCAGACAAATTGAATGAAAAATCTGCAATATATGTATGAATGGTATATATATATATATATATATATATATATATATATATATATATATATATATATATATATATATATATATATACATATATATATATATATGTGTGTGTGTGTGTGTGTGTGTGTGTGTGTGTGTGTGTGTGTGTGTGTGTGTGTGTGTGTGTACCCATTAATTATTGTCTCTATAAAGATATATTTAATAAATATAATACACATTGACTAACTTATAAAATATTAAATATAATAATAAAAAATAATAATAAAAATAAAATTTAAAAAATACCATTTTATAGCAAAATATTTAATTTAAATATTACAAATAAAAATAGAATGGAAATAAAAATATTAAAAAATAAATTAAAAAATGATCATATTTAAATTTAAATGTTACAAGACTGAAATTTAAAATTATACAATTATTAACGACATTGTGCACTTAGCATAGCTTAGTGCATTGCTCATAAGATATAATATATATATATATATATATATATATATATATATATATATATATATATATATATATACATATATATATATATATATATATATATATATATATATATATATATATATATATATATATATATATATATATGTATACCTGTTAAAGATGAATTTTTATTGAAATCAACATCATCTGAAGTGTTAGAACATCGAGGAACTATAAAAAACAGTTAAAAATGTTGCTATTCCTAAGATACTACCTTACTACTGCAACAAGAAAATAAGAACTGAAATATATACTTAAAGGAACATCTGGCTTGATAAAAGCTTGTTCTGGGGATTTATTAAGGTCTTCAAAACTTTTATTGAACTTCATATGTCTAAAAATGTTAAATTTATTAATGATATACAAAAGATTATAATTATCGCTCTAAAGCATTATTATGTAGACTAGATAGACTTAGAATCTGTTAAAAGTTTTGTTTTTTTAGTAAAAATTTTAATTTTTTAACCCTTTTGTTGACTCTGTTTTCTTTTTCTTTATTGATTTACTAAGTTCTTCTTTAAAAAAAATAGATTCAATTTCCTTTTCTAAAAAGCAAAAATGCTTACGCTTTTATGCTACACATATTTTATTTAAAACAAGTCCTGTATATCTATATATAAACAAACTTTATTTTAAGTAATATTTTACTAACTTTTTTCAAATAACTTTACTTGAGAATCTTCTTCACAAGACTGGCTAATTATGGAATACAAGCATTATTATTTTTAATTGTATTAAGATTATTTTATTATAATCATATAAGGTTACAAAAGAATGTAAATATCTTCCATCTATCGAAATGAAATTGTTGAACTTTATAGACCTTTTTCGATTTTTTAGATATAGTTCATCAACATTTGATGTATCTTCCGCATATTTACATTTTTCTTTTGCTTCAGATTCTGTGTCTAAATTTTTTAAACAACAATGAAGTCATTGCTATATAAATTTTTGTCAAATTCAAATTTTATTATTTTACTTATTAAAATATACATTATAAATTTGTTTTCTGTAAAATAATTAAAATTTATTAAAACACATAAAACTTAAATAAATTATTTAAATTTTTTTTTCTTTTCATAAAACTTATAAAAAGCAAAAAAATAGTTAATTTACTATCATTTAAATAACATATAAACTAATCAGCAGTGGACAAAATTTTTCCAGAAAATCGCAGCCAACCAACTTCTGGTTCTTGACAGATTGATTTTGCTGCGTCAATTTTTTTCATATTTGTCCAGCGTGGCCAATAAAAATCTGTTGATTTCCTTGAAGATATTATAGACAGAACATTTTCGCTCATCGCATTAACAAGCCAAATTAGAGGTAGATAGTCAGTGTTATTTTCCTCATCAAAGGCAACAATTGCATACATCATTTTACTGTAAGTTAAAATGCCAATGTATACACTTGCTTTTAAATTAAAATATACAATATATATATATATATATATATATATATATATATATATATATATATATATATATATACATATATATATATATATATATATATATATATATATATATATATATATATATATTGATATATATATTGATATATATATATATATATATATATATATATCATAAATAAAATACTCTTAAAAATATTTTATATACAATTTAACACACACGCACATATACAATGTAATACATAATATGTATATATATATAAATATATATATATATATATATATATTATATATTACATATATAATATGTATTTATTTATATAAATATATATATATAATATATATATATATATATATATATATTGTATATATATATATATATATATTGTATATATATATATATATATATATATATATATATATATATATATATATATATATATATATATATATATATATTGTATATATATATAAATGTATATATAAATATATATAATATATAATGTATATATATATATATATATATATATATATATATATATATATATATATATATATATATATATATATATATATATATATATATATATATATATATATATATATATATATATATATATATATATATATATATATATATATATATATATACAACATTATAAATACATTCACGTATACATACAAATGTAAACATACTTTGTTTGACGAGTAGCTGTGCGAAAAGTTATCTTTTAATTTGCATTGAAAAAAAATATATTTATACGGGTTGTAATTTTGTAATGTTGCCAAGAATTTATGCCACAAGTTCCTTGTTTACTTCTTTGTCAAGGAAGTAAAACAGTAAAAATGAAGATGTCAACATTATAATATTGTGACATCAAAATTATTCGTGAAACTAATTTTTGTAAAGGTGAACAATATTTAATTCAATTCTTTAAAATAACTAACTTTATGCATAGTAAAATTTAGTTCGTTTTTTAAAGAAATAAAAACTTCTTTTATATAAACTTAAACGCTAACATAATCCAGTTTTAATGTAGAAACAAAATCCAACGAAAAACCGATTTCTCTTTAATTATAATGTAAAAATAATGTATACAAGTTCCATTTTATAAACTTCTTTGAAACTCAATTAATTTTGTTATTGTAAATGGCGAAATTTAAGATTCGGTTTTATAAAATATCTTCTTGTAACGGCCCTAAATGGGAAACCCATCACATTCCCATATTCCGTAACCCAGATATGATTTCTACGAGAGTTTTAGCGTGATTTTTTAGCCATACGGGACCCATCAGGAAACCAGTACTCGCGCCCATTTAGATCCCGTATCCCGTAAACCCGGATATAAACCGTACGGGGCCCGTTTGCTATTGCTGGCTGGGATGGCAATCGGCGCAATAATTCAAATTTATATTTTGCCTCTTAAAAAATAGATATTGAACGTATACTTTAATATTTTTTCACTGAAGCAGAGGAAAGCAGAATTATTGTAATTATCAATAAATATAATGAAATAAATAACATGTTTCTTTATGAATAAAGGTAAAATATTTTTAAATATACTAAAGTTTATTTAAACAAATATGAACCAAAAACAACGAGCATTTTTATTGTCTTCATTACAATGTAACAATGCGTTTGGATTCTAACAATATTTACATTGAAAATTTACAATCCAATGTTAATTTCATTATAGTATTTATACACTGTGTAGATACTATACTAAAACTACCAACTGTAAAATACAGATAAATGTGTTGGTATCAAATGTATGCGTATAATAGTCAATGTATGTGTATAATGCACGTGTATAATATTTAATGTCAGTTGTGAACATGTATAGTTTTATATTTCAAGCAAACTTAATAATGAAGAACCTTATCTGGTCATTATATAAAATAAATGATGCAAGTGATGCGTATGCAAATTGTAATGTCTGTAAATAAATGATTAAACGTGGAAATATGGTGGCTGGTCAAAATTAGTTTAGTACAACACTTTAGCATAAACACATTAAAATAAATCATTCCAAAGAATATCATATAGAACAAAATAAAAGTGAACAGAAAAGAACTGCTTAGGCTGTCAATAACACGAGTAAATTTTATCAACTGGCACTACAGTAAAAAACGATACTGTTTTGGAAACTTCTAAGCAGACTTCAATAGAAGAATATTTAAAGTTACAAATAATATGGAGTATCAATGACTTTAGGTCACAAACTATTCATTGTAAAATTTGGTTGATGATGACCTTACACAACCAGTCACTTACTTTATTTGAATATACAGGTTTTAATAACTTAATGCATCATTTAGAAACCAGATATTGCTTGCCAAGTAGAAAATATTTCTCTAAAATAATAATACCTGAACATCACATGGAGTTAAGTTATAAAATTTCTAATAAATTAATAAAATCAAATTACATAAGCTTTTCTTCAGTAATATTGACATGCTCAATTTCTCATGAATTGTTAATTTCATTGTTAATTTCATTGTGCTAGCAATATGGTAAGTGGGAGTAATCGAGCTGAAATTCCCTCAATACATTGTGCTATTCATTTATTTCAATTAGTTGTTTCTAAGTCAATCATGAGTAAAAATATTGTAAGTATTGAAAATATTGTTGTTATTTTAAGATGTCATCAAAAAAAATCTTGAAATTCTTTGTCTTGCTCAAGATGTCCCAACAAGATAGAACAGCACTTATCTGATACTTGAAAGGTTAAACAAATTAAAAATTCTAGAACGCTCTGATTTAATGAATTTTTCTACATTTGAATGAAGATTAATATTAAACATTAAATTGTTAAAACCTTTTTTTCCACTTAACTAACGAAATGAGTTCAGAAATAACTTTGCCTTCTGTAATTCCGAATATGTGCTTATTAAAGAAATTTATGTCGAAATGTCAAGTTGATTAAAAAGTTAATTTACTAGTTTCTTGTTGAATAAAAGAAATTTTTTCCTTAAAGTTTTTTTCTGAACCAGTTGTAAACAGAAAATTCTGTCTTTCAAAGACCTGGATGCAAAAAGAACGATTTTCTCATTTAAAAAAGATTGCCTCAAAGCACCTATGCACTCCTGCATCATCCATATTTTTTGAAAAATTGTTCTCAGAACATCTACGAGAAAAAGAGATCTAGGTCATTGCCTAAAACAGAAGAAATGCTTTTGTTTGTTCACCATAATATAGTGAACAATAAGATAAGAAAACAAATATGTAAATTAGGGGCAAAGGAACCAGACAACATGAACTTTACTTAAATGTTGATTTTTATTTTAACCAAAATACAAGGAATTATTATGTGAAAAAATCTATACTAAAATATCAAAAAAAAAAAAAAATTAAAAAAAAATCTTAGACGTAATTTAAAAAAAAAGTATACTAAAAGCAAAAAAAAAAATAAAACATTAAAACAGAAATTTTTTTTAATTATTTGGTAGAAAATATTTGTGCAAAGCAAGTTCTTTAATTTTTCAATTCCAGTCATATTTAAAATCCTAAAAAAAAGTGTTGGAAAGTTTTGACAGAGTAAAGTTTTTACCCTCCCCAAAATAAAGGGTAATAAATTAAACATCGTCATAGCTTTCAAAAATTAATTAATTGATGAAAATTTAATTTAAGTATAAGAAAGTGTAATAAAATATTTATTTAGTATATTCCCTCCCATTTGGGGGAAGTAGTCAAGATAAATTTTATGTTATTTTTATTCCCAGGTTCTAATGCTTTTTTAGTGTAAAATATCTTCATTCTATATAAGCATAAGCAATGTTAATACTTATTTTTTTAATGCTCATTATTTATTATGCTTATAATTATTCTTTTTTTTTTTTGCTTATTATTTATTTTTTATGTAAAACCTTTTGATACATTTATAAAACATTACATTTTTTATGTAAAAACTTTGAGTACTCTAAACGGGCGCTATCATGATTTTTTTTAAAGTCAAATATTAAAAAAATATTAACGATATTTAAAAAAAAAAAAAAAAAAAAATTTTAATTTTATTTTATTGTTTATTTGCCTTGTGTAATTTTTATCAAAAATACTAACATTGTAATTTTGATTTTGTGCAGGCATATTAATATATATATATATTTTTGTACCTACATGCCTTTTTTAACTATTAGTTTATTTAATAGCGATATTTGTTTTGGTGTGTGTGTCCATAAAGTTATATGTGTTGATTTTAATTAATTTATGAAAACTAAACTATTGCAACTCATCAACGTTAAATAAATTTTTTAAATAAAAATAAAAAATTACATTATCCAGCTTGGTACAGACTCCAAACTTAAGTGTGTTTATTAAACACAGTTAAGTTTGGAGTTTGTTAGCGCCCGTTTAGCACCGTGCTGGATTTAGAGTACTCAAAATTAGGTTTCACATAAAAAATCATTTTCCCACCCCCGAAAATCTTGATGTAAAATGTGTTCATTATATGATTCCTTATAGTTTTACTAACTTTTTTCTGCCCCATTGAGCATGGTGAGTTTGAGTATTTAGTTGTAGTACGTTAGCCAAACGTGATGAGTAGTGAAATATTGCTAATGACTCTGATTCTCAACTTATGACTCCATATCTGATTCTCAACTTATGACTTTGATGAAAAGCACTTTTCATCAAAGTGGTGGAGTTTTGTACTTTTCTCTCCCTGGTGTACCAGCAAATGTAATTGACAAGCAAAGCAAAAAAAATGTAATTGATCTTTGGTGCAAAGCAAGTGTAATTGACCTTTGTGTAGCAAAGAGTAAGAGACTATTTGCACTGTAATGAAATATTACAATAATGTCATCACACTATAGTGTGATGACGTTATTGTAAAATCTACCAAACCTAAATAAGGCAGTTCGATGACACAATCTTCACGAGTTGGTTCAAGTTGTTGTGGCAATTTTGTGTCTGAACCGCTGCCAATTGTTTATTGTAGCCTATGTTGTGCACACTTATGTTGTGGCCACGTCTGTTAAGAATTGTTACTGGTATGCTGAATGATTAAGCAGCTTTGTTTAGTGAAATTTTGCTGTTTTGTAATTGGACACTACAAGCGCGACTTACTCTTCAGTGTATGGTCTTATTGAGACAATTTTTGTTGAATATTATCAAACCTATCCAAATAGATTTGATAATATTCAAATTAAAATTTTTACGAAAAATTTTCATTGGTCAAAAGAAGATTCATTGGTCAGTTTAGGCATAATTATTTAATAAAAGCCTCATTTACCCGGTTAACAATTAGTGTATTTCATTCAAACCTCTATCTCACCGTTTCTGTTTTTAACTTTTTATAAGAGATTTCCCAGTAAGCACAAGACGCATTTTAGACACTTATAGACGACTAAAACTAGTCTAGGTAAAGACGCACTTTTGTAGACGTTTTGAAGACATCTTTTAGGCGTCTTTTATGAATGCGTTTTTAAAATGACGTTCAAAAGGCGTCTTTTTAAAAGATAAAAAGACGTCTAGAAGACGTCAATTTTGAAGACATCTTCTAGACGTCTTTTATAAAGGCGTTTTTAAAATGACGTCTTTTTAAAGTTTAAAAAGACGTTTAAAAGACGCATAATAAATAGTCTAAAAGACGCATTAAAAGACGTCTAGATCAAGGCTAAAAGACGTCTTTTCTGAGACCTGTTTATAAATATGTCATTATGACTTCTTTTTGACGGCTTTGTCATTACGCGTTAAGTAGATGTCGTATATTCAAAGTAAAAACATAGTTTTTATTATTTTCAATACTTTGTTCAAATTTTAAGTGTAAATTACTTTAAATTAAATTACTTTTTTACACAATTGCTAAAATTGTTGTCACAGGAATCACTAAAATAATTGCTATAATATTAATATATCTTTTTTTATTAATAATTATTTTGCTTTTTTAATA